GGCAACTTAATACTTGATTAACCATTAAAAGTCTGATAAAAGAGATGCATTTTGATAAGATTTTAAAAATTACTCCTTCCTTCTTGGATCTGATGATCCAAGCTCTGACGATCCAAGCTCTGACGATCCCAGCTGAGTTGCCTGATTGTCAGAGGGTTTTTTAAAAACCCTCTGATGATCAGGCAACTCAGCTGGGATCGTCAGAGCCTTTTGAAAGCATTTTTTTACATGGTTTTACATGTAAAAAATGGTTTTAAAAGTAAAAAAAAATGGCCATGCCCACCGAGTCACATTACCCCCCACCACCAAGCCACGCCCACAGAACCGGTAGTAACAAATTTTAGATTTCACCACTGCCCCCCCCCTTTAGAGGATACATCATCTTCAGTTTTAAAATGCAAACCAAATAGATTTTTACAAGCATTGTCTGTCTGTTTGCTGTTACTATTGAGAACAAATTAATCCAGTTGGGTAGAACGAAGATCCCATGAATAAAACGGGGTGGGTGGGGAACGAGGGACTAATTTTTAAAATCTTATCAAGATGCATCTCTTTTATCAGACTTTTAATGGTTAATCAAGTATTAAGTTGCCCGACTCCTGTGAGACATTTCTAATAGACTGATAAGTAAACAGAGAAAAATTTAAGAAATTCAGCTTCTCGCTGCATTGGTGGTAGGGATTGCAACCTCAAAAACAATTGCTTTTGATTTGTTTTTGGAATTTAATATGCTCAGGTTGGTTTAGCAGTGAAAAGTCCAGGCATCACAAACTTGCTTAATTAAAGGAATAAGAGTATCTTTTCTATAATTCCATAATCTGTGGGCAGGATAGCAGGCGCAAAAATATGCCAATGCCCACATTTTGGAATTAACAGTGTTGAAGTAACACAGATATGAACTGAAGTACCCAGTTCATATCAGTGACTTGAAGTCATATCACCTAGGCCTACATGGTCACCATTTGCAGCCTAAGTCCCCAAATATGATTTCTAGCAGCTGCAGTCCTGTTCATTTATTTTCAAAAGAAAACCTCGGTATCTTCAGTGGAGTGTACTCTTTGATGTTTTTAGGGTTGTATTTTCAGAGAACTTTTAAAATAGGTCTGCTGTTTGAAAATCAGTCCCACTAAGCATGATCAAAGCAACCTACACTTTGACCTCCATTTCAGGTGCACAGATTCTTATTGATACATGAATGGATTTATCATTTGTTGTTTGCTGCAAAGATTCTCTAAAGATGTTTACAGTGATAATTTCCAGATAGATCCTTCAATGGTCATTTGTCATCTCCATATCAGTTTAGCTCAAGTTTCTGTAAGAAATTAATTAAATTTTGTATCACTGTTTAGCAATCATATGGAAGCACTAAGTACATCTGATTTTAAAAGACTCAATTTCCTGATTTTTGTTTTACTGGAGTAAGAGTAAACCATAGCATTATGATGCTGGCTAAATCTCCAAGTTTTGTACCTGGCTAGCAAGGGAAATTGGATTGGGAAGGGTTAAAAGAAGTACTGTGGAAAGAAAGGGAGCATATCTTAATATCTAACCCTAACCCTAACACCCCCACCCCCACCCCCACCCCCGCTTACTGGTGGTACCTTTGAGTTAATTTTTAACTCCTGGAAACTGGAATGGGACAACTTGCTATGGCCAACACGGCACAGTCAACTCGCCATAGGAAAACTTGCCACAATTCAGCAAATACAAAAGTTAAATGAATTTCAACAGAATCATGACCAATAATAACAAAAGAAAGAAAGCCAAGCCAGAAATACAAGAGTTACAATAATTTCCATGAAAATGTATAATAAAAGTAACTCTTAAGAGCCTTGATAGTACAGTGGTCTACCCACCCTGTTATTAACACAGCTGCCTGCAATTTACTTCTGGTTCGAATCTCTCCAAGGCTCAAGGTTGACTCAGCCTTCCATCCTTTCTAAGGTAGGTGAAATGAGGACCCAGTTTGTGGGGGCAATAAGCTGACTTTGTATAAATATACAAAAGTATGAAGGCTATTGCTTAACCCATTGTAAGCCGCCCTGAGTCTCCGGAGAAGGGCGGCATTCAAATCAAATTTTAAAAAAAAATTAAAAAAAAACTGAAATGATTAATGCAGTGTTGAATTGTCCCATGGCGAGTTGGCTGTGGTGATTGGCCATGGCAAGTTATCCTGAAGTCTGCTTGGACATGTCCCTGAAGTTTTCTTGGAAAGATTTCAGTCGTGGTTTGCCCTTGCTTGCTTCCAGGGCTGAGAGAATGAATGGCCCCAAATCACCCAACTGGTTTGATACCTCAGGTGGGGATTCAGGATCTCCTGATTGCTAGTCTGGCAAAATAAAAAGTAAAATAGACCTAATAGCCTTAATAAAACTCCATCTCTCAATAAGCAATTCAAAGCCCAAAGAAGTAGTAAACAGAAACCAGCAAATAGAGAATACTTTAAAAAGAGAAGAGCTATACAAGATTTCTCTGAATCAGCTCATCTATTTCTACTGGAGTTGTCCTCTCATTAGAAATTACTAAAAGTGTGATGAAAACAAGTTTTTGGAGGAGTGGGAGCCTGTTAACAAGATAGTAACATTGGAGATGGAATATGTGTTAATTGCTGCTACCTTGACATCCTCATTTCTCAGTACATTTATCAAAACTGCTCTGGCAATACAATTGATATGTTTCTTTTTGTGAAGATAATAATTCTTTCTTGAGAATGCTTACAGTAGAAGGCAAGGAAGTAAGTTGAGGCTTGCTAATTATATATAGTCATTCTTATATCATCTGTTATCTTTGAATATGTATATGGCACAATGGCATAGTGGTTAGAATGCAGTTTTACAGGCTGACTCTGCCCACTGCCATGAGTTCAATCCTGACCGGCTCAAGGTTGACTCAGTCTTCCATCCTTCTGAGATTAGTAAAATGAGAAGCCAGATTGTTGGGGGCAATATGCTGACTCCGTAAACCGCTTAGAGAGGGCTGTAAAGCACTGTGGAGTAGTATACAAGTCTAAGTGTGATTCTTATTGCTATTATCATTTTTCCTCTTTTCCTGAAATATATAAATATGACTGCATCATTTTGTCTGTAGAAGAGTCCCCCCGCCCCGTTCCCCCCACCACTATTTTCTAGAGGGAATCCCTCCACTGAACACTGAATAAATAATAACTGCAGTGAGCCTTGGTTATTGGACTCCTGCATTTAATCCCACCAAACTGATGTATATCAAAGATAAAAAGGCATGGCTATTCATGACAATATGTATATATGCCATTCATATATACATATTGCCACCCTCTTACTATTTTTTTTAAAGAAATATTATTTCAACATCCCAAATGCTGAAGAACTTTAGATGCATTTGGCAGTTTGTCATTCCTTTGGCAGGCTTTACACGTGAAGCATACTGTTGCAAATCAAATGCTGTTATAATTACACATTATCAAATTTTTCAGATTAAAAATACTAATATGCGTAAAATTTTAAATTACTGTTAAGCCTTAAGTATTATTCTCTGGCAACTTCAAACATGAGTGATGGATTAAACTGCCTACCTTCCAATGCCCTGGAAGCTTCTCAAGGATCCTTTCATAGTATTTACAGAGAATTGTCCCTGAATGAAGAATATGTAATGCTACTGATCATCTTCTGCCATATGTGTAGCAACAAGAATGAATGGAGCATGCATCCATAATCCTTTGCAATCCATGACACACGAGGAAAAGCTTTATGGCAGGCGTTTAAATGAATGTGGAAAATGTTTTTGAAGGCCAAGTGGATGAAAATCACTATGATGTATGATTAGTGTCAGCTTTCAGTGTTTTCAAATGCTAATCTGTAGCACACTATCAAATACTGTCCAATATTAACTGTCATATATCTGATACTGCAATTAGTTGCTAGTGACTAATATTTTAATATTTGACAAGTAAATGAACATTCAGAATGCACAAGGAATATCCAATATTTAAATGCTGGTTTTTAATGTATGGGAACCCGTGCATTTCTTCTCTACTTTTGAAAATAAAATACACATGCCTCCCACTAGAAGCACTCTTACTTTCTAGGTGGAATGAATACATGGCTTTATTTTACTGTAAATGCAAACACACACACACAATCTTAACTGGATAGCTGCTATTAAAATTGCTCACATCATGATGATTACCCTGAATAAATACTTCAATGATACAAACATTAATAAAATGAATACAAGCCTTGACCTCTGCTATTATGACTCACATTTGAAGTCTGCTTAATTACAGGAACGCTGCCAGGGCTCTGACACGTCAGCCTCTGCAAAAATGCAGAGAGTATATATGGCACAATGTTTACAGATGCTTAAATTGTGCCAGTTTTTAGTGCACTGAACAGTAAATTCTGCTTCCTATCTGAGAGCAGGAAAAATTGTCTAGAAAATGGGAGAAAGCAAGCTGCTGTCAGTACTTCACTGTCTTCAAGACTTCAATACTTGATACACTATAATTTATTGCTAATTAACAGAACTAAAATAGAACCTTTTGTGTGTCATCCATTGGCCTCTGTGTAGTTCAAAGTTTTCTAGTTGCAATGCAAGTGTTCAAGTGTAGGTTTGCATGACATGTGGCTTTTGCAAAAGGACACGGATTACGCTGGGATATGGAACATAGTTTAGTTTGGGAATCACATTCACACCAGTGTTAAGTGTGCATGTCAGTGCTGGGAGTGGTCAGTGTCAAAATTTGAAAGGCCAAAGCAATGTTCTCTATTTGTCCTCCATTTTAATCTTGTTAGTTTTAATCTTTCCTTTTTGCTCACTCTTTCTCTCCCTAAATCAAAGATACATGGGTTATATACAACTTATCCAAACTTTACAATTTAACTCTGTTATTCTATTATTCGAAGAGTGCTTTAAAATGTTATGGCTATAAGAAAAAAATCTCTTTTGGCCCTGGTTGCTCAGAAGAGGTCCACTTCTGAGAACACTGTGACGTTTCCTTTCCCATTTCTATTTCTAACTCTTCTCGTTTCCCCATCTGTTATATCTTCTGCTGTATTTTCAATTCACTCCGTATCCCGGTCATGTCTTCTTGCATTGGTCACCCTGTCTCCTGTGGCAGTTACAGAGTAAGACAAATGAGATGAGCTGACCAGTGAAGGAGACCATCAAGTTACGGCAAATCCCTGAGCTTTTCAAATGTCATGGTGTGTTTTATAAAACCAGTGAATGACTCAACAGTTGAATTCTATTCAAAAGAATGAAGCAAAGACACACATACTATAATTCTACCTAAGGTGCAGTTGGGAGGTTTATAGGGAAGGCTAGAATTAGTCATATTTTGGACATGTATATTAAAAAATACAAATGGAAATCAAAAGCCTCATATCCACTCTTATTCTCTATTACCATGGTAATCCTGATGGTAATTTGACCTTGTTATCAGCAATTAAGTGGCTGAACAGTCCCTCATTTCCCCTCTCTAATTATATATTTACTTTTTCAATTAGCCAGTGATTTATTGGCAAGGAACAGCATTGCGGAGATATTGTAAGGCCCCGTTCCCTCAACAAATTGCATCTCATCTTTCAAATTAAATTATTTCCAAGTACCGTAGTAATCAGTCATGTACAAATTCCTTTTGGCTCAATTGAGTATCTTCTTGACTAAAATTAGTTGGGTTGGTGCCTCGGTAAGCCCAGTTTGTCATTTGAATCATATCCTGTTCCTTTTCCAAAAGCTGCCAAGAGAAGCTTGGGCATATAATGGCTGCTAAACTGAGTAGCCTGGGTTTGCTTCTCCTTTTCTAACTTGCTTAATCAAGCCTCTCCTTCTGATAGGTTTGCAGAAAAAGCACTACATGGGCTGTACGGAACATCCCATTTGTTATTCTCTTTCTCTCTCTCCCTCCCTCCCTCTCTCTCTCTCTCTCTCTCTCACACACACACACATACCACCTTGCTAAAGAAAAAGGCTGGAAAATGTGCCTGTTTGAAGGTAGTTGGGGTGTGGATTGGAGGGTGTAGTATGATTCTAAGGGGCAAAATAAATGTCTAATGCTTTGCAAAGTTTTCAGCTGTCTTACCACCACACCCAAAATAGATTATTAGAAGATATGGTGGAATCTCTAGCTAGACTAGAGGGAGATGTTAAGAGATCAGGTTTAGAGTCCTTGCACTGGAGAAAGCAGCAAAGACCTGACTTCCTCTAGAAGCTTTGAGATCTCATCTGACTGTACTCAAGGGAATATAGCCAGTCTGGCAAGATTCTTGTAACATAGGTGACTAACAATAAAGCTTCTGTTTGAGACTCTTCACAAATGATTCTGGTTGCTTGTGCCTGACAAAACTATAATTCAATCTGAGGCAGGCTTTCCAAAGAACACAGGACAATTTTTTGAAGCAGAGATGAAGTTTATTCAACAGAAAAATAGTCAGTTAATCATCAAAGGTGGCCATGAATTGAAAAGAAAAGTTGGTTTCTTTTATAGAGAGATCTGTCTTTTGTCCTTGGAAAGCAAGCAGGGATTACCAGAGAGCACCTCAGGTCCACTGGAGAGGAAATGTGACTTCCTGCCCTGCAGGGTTTTGCAGTTTGTCGTCTTTTGTAAGTTAAGGTGATGACCCCAAGGTGATAGGTTTGAGTGGGGAAGCCTATTGTGGGTATAAGGAATTTTCATATCTGGAGGAATTTTTCATAGTTTTAATTGAGTTGCCAGTGTTTGCCAATTTTTTAATCTAAGACACGCTTAGTGAGTTTCAGCCTAGATGTCAGAATCAGTGTAAAGGCTTTTAAGGTCTGTGGGTTCACCAGCAGGTCAGGCCAGACAGAGTTGGTGGGTGACGTAGAAGGCAGAGGGGTGGCATAGCGTTTTTCTTATGGCAAGATCAACTCTGCTCTTGGTCTTGCCCATATTCCAACTACATTCTTTATCATATTGCACAAGGCCTGTTGCAGCTCTCAAGCCTTTACAGATTCTTTTCTAAGGCATTGCCTCTTGTGTCCAAAAAATGTATATTGTGAATTGAAAACTAGTTGTTAACTAAGAACAATGGACCACAGGCCCTGTGGGAAACTGGTTGAGGAACAAGGCTCTTATCCCATCACCATTCGCTGAAAGCCTAACTATAGAGATGCTACAGATCACATGGAATGACAAGTCCAGTTGCTAGGAAGAAGGAAAAACATATTTTATGGTTCTCCTACCCTTTTCATTCTTTTAATAAACATCAGATTGTGAAAATCAATGGCTGCAGCATTTTTATTTAAAAATTGAAATGTCTCAATGGAACATGAGAACAAGACAACCCTCAAAAATTCTTAAATAGGGCTATTATTTAATTAAAAAATGAAATATGAAATGAAATTGTCATAATTCAAAATTGATTATGATTTTTAAAGAAAAGAGGTAAATTTAGAGCATGGACTGTCCTATATCTGTTCTAAACAGAACACATTTAATGATGTAAATCCTATTTACTTCAACTGTCAAAAAATGCTCCCATCATTTTTTCTTCCAGAATACACTGAATTCTATAATTGATTAAATGATGGTAGCAACTCAGACTTTTACTGAGTTTGGGCTTCATTTTCTTACTCCTTTATTTTTGTGAAAAGTAATAAAGTTATGTAGTATCTCTGAAGCTATATATTCCAAATGCTATGAAGTTTTCCATGGGTCTTTCACTTTTCATTCATACTTGCTAAGAAAATGAAGAGTTAATTGGAAACTGATTGTTGACTGTTAATCTTGAGTACAGGAAAAATATGTTCTGTCTGACATACAAATTCTTTAGATCAGATCTTGCCTTATGAAGGATACTTCCTTTATTTTGTCCATCACAGGGGCTATAATATTTTGAAGGCAAGGCATGAGTGCATCTTTGATGAATGAGATTTGTTACACAGAAAAGGCAATATGTTTTCATGTCTTTCCAGCAATGGAGAATAAGTGAAATTCAAGTGAAATTTTATCTCCTTCAGCCTAGATATTTTCTACTTAGGCTAGTGTTATATTGATTCATAGATAGCTCATATTTTCAAACGAGATCAAATTTATGGAGGGATCCTCCATGTGTGCCTTTGACACTTTCATGAATGTAACCTTCACATGACTAACATTCCAATTAAAAGTGCTGTCCCAGAGATTTCCCATCTCATTCATATGCTCTTTGATATATTCAATGTACTATAATTCCTAGTTTAAATAATATATGCATAAAACTTGAGACAAGTAGTCTAATTCTTTCCACACCAGCTTAGCCAAATAGAAATTAAACACAGGGAAGATGTTTATGCCATATGCTACAGGTACAAGATTTTGTGGCCCATAACATGGTGTGCAAGAGTTAAAAAGGACTCCTGCAAATGATTCTTAGTGTAAGAATATAAGCATATTACATTTACTTTTGTAATTATCACTTCTGTAATACAAACATTATTTGGAACGTATAGTATTCTCGGTCTTCTGTAGTCCTTCAACCTAATCCTGCAAAGTTGGATGAAGGGACATTACACCACTGACACTTAGATGTTCTAACTCACATTATCTCCAGCAAGCAGGGTCAATGGCTATGTGATCTATCTATGATGAGACCTGTAATACAATGCCAGAGAGCACTGGACTGGAAGTGGCCACTTCTGAAACTGTTTTCTCCCATCAAGCATATTATAAATCAGCTACCTTTGTTTAGAATCTGCCAGATATTCTTTAATATCAAATTATCTAGTTCTATTTCAGCTGCCTTTCCCTTCCTGTACTAGCTAGTTCCAGTGCAGTAAGAAGATTGTTGTCAACATAATGGACACTCTCAAGAATCATTGTAAGTATTTTATTTCTTATAGATCACATGAATTCATCTAAGGTAAACCCATGTTGAACTCAACATGATTATGCAATATAATTCTTTTAAACTGAACATTTGGTAGCTTACTTAAGCAAATTTTGTATCTTAAGCTAACTTAAAATTGGCACACTTTTGTTTAAATGTTCTTCACTCTTTCATACACATTGTATTAAAACAATTGTGTCTAGGTAAATAACTGCTTTTTGTTCCTTCCTAGAATTTCAACAAAGGAGCCGGGATATTCAAGACAGCAACAGAGAAGACTATAGCATTGTTCCTACAAAGAATATTTATATGTATAAAAAGCGTACTGTTTAAAAACTGAATAAAACTGAAATCTGCGGTTGTTTAAAGTAGATGCATATGATTCAGACTGTTTTTTTTAATGAAAGAAAAATAGTTATTTGTGGATAGATCATGTTGGTTGAGTGGCCAAGAAGTAGATTGGGACCTATTTGAAGGTCTCCAGGCAACATGCAAAGTTTTCAAATTCCTATTGATCCCGCCATATCTCATAGCTGAAATTTAAAAAAGAGGTTAACAAGGAATTGTGGTATGAACGAAGTGTGGTTTTCTTTTGATTCTGCTATTTTCAATTATGGTTCCCAAAAAGCAGCAGTGGAGCAAAGTGAAGCCACAGAATTTTTGAAATTATACAATATTTATTATTTTTACTCAAGTGAAAATTCAAAGAGACTAATCCAGATTGGGGGGCCCATGCAGTGAGAGGGAGAATCTTTCTTTCCCCCAACATTTGTCTGTTAAAAATAATAATTGGTATCAGTGGAGAAGAAAAAAGCCACACATTCTGATTTCTGTTGAGTAAATCAAAGTAGAGATAGAAACTATAATATATGGTAATAATTACATATATATAAATACATATATTATATATATGTATTTATATATATTAAACATATATAAATTACATATATAAAGCTTTAAGCAACAATAATCATATAAAATATTATTGCAAAGTGCTGAATCCAAAAGTTGCAGCTTCATACTTTTTTTGAAATGGGAGAGGATAAGGGGAGGAGACAACAACCAAGCAAAATTCTAAAACAGTTGCACAATTTTGGGTGTCACACAAGAAGAATCCCTTTATATGGAGATGAAGAAATTGGCTTCTGCAAGTGGGAATTTTTTTAAAAAAGGACTTCTCTTACAGAGGTTAGCATCTGTATAAGATCATAATGATACCACCAGTCTCTCTGATAGCCTTAAAGGTTAAAATTGAAAATTGGACTTAATAAGTAGCCTGTTCCAATCTTTTATTCAAGTGTAATGTGATCGTAGTATATTGGTTGGACCATCACAAGAAAAACAGAATTTTCTAACTCCATGTTCAGTTCCTTGCTTGTTGAAAAAGCCTGATTTCTGCCACTCTTAGAGTACCATTCACAAAATATCCTCTATTTAAGAAGAGGTGAGAAATGTGCTCCAACTACATAGTACTCTTTAATTCAGTAAACTGCTTAATGGCTACATTCACCTATTGTTAATATAACTATAGATAAGCCTGTCTTGTAAGCACAGCCACTCTCTTGCAATAACAATAGATATGTATTTTTAGTAAATTGTTTAAGTAATCAAAGGCAATGTCTCTTCTCACCTTCGAAAGGAAATTAGATGAGTTATCATTATATTGTTTTCCAGATGGAGTGCCACTGTATTTTCTCCTGAGGTTCCCCTTCCTTCTCCCAAGAGTTTTTTTTTTTTTTTTTTTTTTGGTGAGAAAGAGCAGCTTCAAGGAAATTTTTAATAAATCATATTGAAATCTTTATTGAAATCAGTAGTCTGCTGTGTTTTCATCCTGGATTATTTTGTAATACTATAAACTAGGTAAAGGCTCATTCAGATAGAGCTCAACTCCTGAAGACTTCTAGGCAGAGCCATTCTCTAGACCCGTGATGGCAAACCTATGACATGCATATCACAGGTGGCATGCGTAGCCATATCGGTGGGCACGCAAGCTCAGCTCCGGCGTGCGCAGGACTTCTGGGCCCACCAGAAGTAGGGAAACAGGCTGTTTCCTGCCTCCGGAGGACCTCAGGGGGTGGTGGGGAAGGCCCATTTTTTTCTGTCCCCAGGCTCTAGAGCCTTTCTAGAAGTCTGGGGAGAGTGAAAACGGCCTTCCACCCCACGGAGGCCCTCTGGAGGCCAGAAATTTGCCAACTTCCGGTGGGACACACACACACCCTCGCTCCTGGCACACGATGGCAAAAAGGTTAGCCATCACTATTCTAGAGTCTAGACACCCATTAACAACAGAGATCCCCAGTCTGTGGACTAGCACCTGTCCATGGCATGCTGGAAACTGGTCTGCACAAACAAGTGAAGCCCCATCGGTGGGATGCAGGCAACACACAAAACCACACCCTCTCCGGTCCATGGAAAAACCTCTCTCCACGGAACTGGTCCCTGGTGCCAAAAGATTGGGGACCGCTGATTAACAATGTCTAATATAATTCCATATCACTTACCTCCATTTTGCTTCTAATTTTGTTCAGGTACAATTCCATTTTGTGCAGGTAAAACGGGAACATGTGGGTTCTGTCTCTCCTATCAATAGAAGACCTTTTCATGAAGAGGCATTTATCGCTTATTTTCCCCCCTTCGATATCAGAATAACTGGCTTGAGAAACTATTCATTTGACTACTGTAGGGCTCAATTCTCTGTTCCATCTAATGGGGAAAAGGGTATATTAGCCCCATTTTGCCCTGTAACTTTCGGTTTTCTAGAGGAAGTCCTCAATTTATGAACATTTGTTTACTGACTGTTTGGCACTGAAAAAAAAATGACTTATGACCAGTCCTTGTATTTAACAACTATTCTAGCATTCCCACAGTCACATGATCAAAATTGGTGTGCTTGGCAACCAACTATGTTTTTTCAATGGTGGCAATATTCAAGAGGTCATATGATGGCCCTTTGGGATCTTCCCAGCCAGTTTCCAACAACCAAAATCAATGGAGGAAGCTGGGTTCACTTAATAACCCTGGTGACTTAATGACAGGAATGATTTGCTTAACATAAAATCATAAAATCTGTTGTGACTCACTTAACTACTGCCACACTTAGCAATAGAAATTCTGGTCCAAATTATGGTCATAATTTGAAGACTATCTGATTATAATAAACTTTGGTTTATTGGTTAAGATATTTAAATTTAGTAGCTGGGATCAATGTGGTTGTACAATGAGCCAGAACACACAGTTATGGTTGATTGGTTGGAGAGTGCTGGCTCCTGCATGAGGCAATCTGTGCTGTGATTGGTTGCTGTGGGTGTGGAGAAAAAGGGGGAGGTTCCCTTTTTTCCCACCCTTTTTTTCTTTGTGCCCTGTGTGCTCTGAGATTTACCTCATGATGCTCCTGTTTGCCTGACTCTCTTGCTTGCTGTAATGTAGATGTAAAATATATTTATTTATATAAAACTACAAATTCGCCTCAGCGTCTCTCTGACTTCATTCGGACACCTGCTGCGCAATTCCCTGACATTATTCCCCCTCAATAAAGCCATAGTCAGAAGTCTTGTTCTGAGTTATTGATTAGGCAATATACTATTATGACTCGGGTGGAAGGAAAGGGCAACAGGCCAGTTCTGAATAAAGACAATAGCAATAGATACGCATTGTTAGGCTTTTTAAGATGGTAGCACTTGACCAACCCTATTTGGGAAGTCCAAAAATTCCAAAAGAGGTCAACTGTCAACTACCTCTATATTCACATGAAACAGCTGCATGTCTTTGTAGTTAACAGAAATTCCTAGAAAGTGCAAATTGCTCCCTGAGGGGGAAAAACCATCCCATTGCTTTGCAGCTCTGCATAACCAGCCTTCCGCACACCCATCAGCTGGCTGGTAGTGAATCCTTGTAAGGGGAAGAGGGGAAGAGAAATTAGTAGAACCAAGGGAGAAAGTTGACTTTAACTTTCTTTTTTCTCTCTCAACCTCCAATGCTTCTTACTAAAAGAGAAATGTTACTGTAGCTGTGCAAGATTTGACTGTAATCATGGTATGATTGCTTACAATCTTTTACAGCCACCTTATTCTGCCTAAATGGGATAATTAAAACAGGGAAGGGTGAAACCGGCTTCTTTACCAGGACAGCAGATCATTTCATAGCATAAGAAGAAATGCTGCCTCAGATGGTTCTCCACTTTTGGAAAACATCATCTGGCTTTTTATTCAGCATATTTTCAATCCTTTCTCTTCATCATCACCTAAATACCTGCTGTAACTGAAGAAGACACAGGACCTGTTGTTCAGTTATTTGGTTGCTACAATATCACTCACAACTTCCGTTTGGCAGACTAGGCCATGCAGAATCTTAGAAGCCTTTTCATGCAGCCCAAACTCCAAGGAGTCTCCCTCCTTAAGTGTATGGATTGAGACCCTTTTTACTGATCCTACCTTCCCCACCCAAGCCTATGCATGGAAAAATAAAACTCCTTTAACTTGTTAATGGCTGAGGATGCTCCCCACCACTGTTGCTTGGGGTTTGAAATGCAATGAATGTGTTGCTATAGCAACCTGTTCTTTATATGAGGGAGATTTTATGCTAATTCTGAGGAGACCCATGGATGCATATATTAAAGAAGGCCCTCCAGTTTTTAAGTAGTAGAGTCAAGTTTGAGAATTTGTTTCCTCGCAATGCCTTTTATTAACCCTGTTTTCTCTCCTTTTCTGCATTCCTTTCCCAGCTGTAACTTACACAAGTTACAAAAAGACCCCTCCGCCTGTACCCCCACGAACCACCTCGAAGCCACTCATTTCAGTTACAGCACAGAGCAGCACAGAATCCACCCAGGATGCCTATCAGGATAGCCGGACTCAGGGGATTTCCCCATGGCCTCAGGATGGCCTCAGGATGTACAACTCCACGGACAGTTTGGATAGTAACAAGGCTATGAATCTGGCCATGGAAACGGCAGCTGCACAACGCCACATGTCGGACAGTCAAATCAGCTCTGTGAGAACCAGTGACAAGGCCATCCTTGTGACAAAGGCTGAGGAGTTCTTGAAGAGTCGGCGCTCCTCTATAGGGATCCAGGTAGCCTGTCCTTAACACATGTTCTGGGATGAGCTACTCATCTGAGCTCTGTAAAGCATATCAGATGAGTCATTCAGCTCAGAAGCCCCTAATAACTTGAACAACAATCCCTGTGTGAAGTGATTATCATTAATTACAATTCACATCCTGGCTACATGACCATGCAGAGCAGAGTTGAGCTAGTGTGCAGTGCCCGGAAATAAAATGAATGAATACATCTCTGAGCAGGGTAGCTGCCACTAATGCTGCAGATGAAAATTATCCTGCTCAGTCACAAGTGAACAGCATGTTCATCTTTCTCTTTCCCTGGAGAGATTATGAAATTACGGCTGTGCGACTGTCAAACTGGGAACTGTAGTCAAATATTTCTTTTTTCCTCCCTTCTGCTTTGTGCTACCCTGTTTTTCCTTCATGGCTGTGTTTTAATTACATAGCAATGGAGACTAATGTAGACGGGTGAGTTTGAAGCTATAAGAAAACTAATTTATAAAGAATATAGAATTAGTAACAGTTTTTTCCTTTGGTGTTCCTTTGATGTTATGCCACTAGTGTAACAAGAAGTACTGTATTTCTAAGCACATACTACAACAGAAATTATCAATAAAAGCTAAAGCATGCCTACAGGTCTGACCTGCAACACAACTTTTACAAATATTGAGGTTCCACCAAACCTGCTTATACTTCTATTTTAGAAACACACAGGTATTTCTAAAATCACCTCTACATTTGGTGATAAGAAATAGAAAGAACAATTCCTGGTAATAAGCACCATGGAAGTGATGCTTCCTTGGTCAGAATAATCAGTTTTAAGCTAGTCCACTGCTTCAACTAACCCACTTATTTAAACAGCGTTGTTTATTTTTATTTTAAGAAAAAATCAATGTATCTAAGGAGATATGTTAATTCATGAAACCAAGGGGTTTCCATGGATATGGGAGTCCCAAAATGCCAAGGTAGTGTGCAAGTCTACATGGTTTGAATCCTTGCCACTTTTCTAGATATGTGCTGTGCACCAAAGAGGGTGGGGCTTTGATCATACCTGCCATCTTAACTTTTCTGACACTCCACTCCACTGACACTCCTGTTGATGCTTCACAATAGTAGCTGGATTGATCCATAATGTTTGTTGCACAAGCCATAGAATCATGGATTCCCATAGCACTAGACTGTAATGAGTAGGTTCATACATCATAATAAACTAACCACATGAGCCTAGAATTGCTTCTTGGTTTGGTTTGGTTTAGTTGGATTGGTTTATATGGCTGTCAGGTTTCCATTCTCTGATGCTGAAAAGCTCTTAGAAGGATCAACAATTAATTTAGATTTAATTTACATTCTATTTAAGGGTTGAGGATTCTCAGAAGCAGTTAAAGGTAATCTTGGATCTTGTGTAGGCATCCTCCCTAATTAGGTTCAGTTCTGTGTTACTATAGCATTTTTCACCTTTCCCTTCCTGGCAATATGGCAGCAGGGTGGAATTACTGTTTCCTTTAAATAAAAACTATCCTATTGATAATAATGCTGAATTAAATAGATACCGTGAAGTGTTCCTTGATTAGATATGTCTCATTTAAAAGAGCTCTTCCAAAAGCATTTCTGCAGCTATGAGCAATTGGACTCAAGGCCTATGCCTATGAAATGCCATGGGGTTTGGATAAAAATCCATCTATTTATTTCTGCCCAATGGCTTTGCTACAGTCTAATGGAAAGGATGCAGTTTAGCATAAATGCAAAATGTTCAGGTCATCTATTCCCTATAGGCTTACGCAGTAATTAAACACAGGGGTGAAACAATTCACACTGCAGTATACTGCAGTGAGGTTTTTCTTTTTAAGGATGTGCATGCAGCTTTAGTAAATGATAATGAAAGGCTTAGAAGATTGTCCGCTAGTTTGGGTTTCTAAGTACCACTTTCCTATTGAATCTATTCAGTCAGAAAGTGTGAAGGGCTTTTTTTTTCATCTATTATGTATAGTGCTTGTGTCCAAAGCTGTGATCATATCAAATGCTTTGATTCATCTACTTTCTGTACAATTAATCATAACATTCTCATTCCATCATTCAAATATTTCTTTTCCTTGTTCCTTTTAATGCCCATTACGAGAATAGTATCTTTTTATTCACTGATTTGGAATTGTGTAGATACAGAATCCTATCATATATTTGCCTAGCAATTTACACAGACACCCAACAAATCTCTATAGCAACAAGGCATTTGGTGTTCATTCTCTATTCTTTACTTTCAAGTACAGTAAATGACAAACACTATTTGTTAAAGATATAGTCTCCTTTAAAAAAAAATTAAGCTGAGTAAGATAAAGACTTCCTGCAGCCATTTCTTCAGCAAATCCCACTGAGGCTATAGAGCCCATAAAACAGGAAGCACAAAATCAGCCAAATTTATTTGTTTACAAGTAAATCATTTCTGTGGTCACTGGCAAACCCTCAACTGTAATCTGTGGAAGAAAAGATAGAACAGTTATGGCTGCCAAAAATACAAGTAGCAGGTTCTTGTTTACAATACACAAATAATGTGTTTCATAAACCTTTTTTGATTTCCCAGTTAAACCTGCATTTAGAACATCTGAGAATTTTATTTCCATATTGACTTGATTAAAGACACAGCAAGCACGCTTATTAGATGACTATGCACTAATTTTGCAGTACATCTATATTTTCATTCACAGCGGGATTGTTTATTTTAGACGTTATTTGATTTATAAAGCAGTTTTATATAATTTGTAAACCAGAAGTAATATGAAGGAATGTAGCTTAATGTAAACCAATAAGCCAGTGTGACATTCTTAATTTTAGCCTTTTTGACATCAGCAGGTAAAAAAATCAACTACTGTCTTTTAACAGAAATTGCCTACAGAGCAGATTTTTTAAAAAAAAAATCAAAAAAATTAAATTCAGAGTAGATGTACAGTATTCAGACCAATGGCTTAGCTAAGCCTTTGTCATCATCAGTATTTGAAATCAAAATATTATTTCACTTTTAAATATTTCCCCTGACCAGAAATATCTGGAGTGCTATAATTCAGATGATCTTCCCCTCATCAAATATTCATTTTAGTTTAATGTTGCATTTTGTTTAAAATCCACTTCATACTTAGCACATGGCAGCCAGATTCTGTTACTGTTTTCCACAATGGGCATATAAAATATAAAGATGGCCAAACATTTTGGATCATGAGATACATGCATTTGAAATCCTTGGGATTTATTACTTAATGGCTGCATATCTTTCCTTATCCTTTATGTGTTTATTACAGAAATCATTGCTATGGATGTTAGCCAAATGCTTTAGTTTGTTTGCAATTATGGTCTCTGACCAAAATATTTCATAAAATGCCAAATGTATCTTGTTTATAGTGTTTGTATAGCAATTTGCTTTGTGCAAGCTGCAAAAACATTCTCAGAGGCCTCATCTCTGTTCTGCCACAAATGCTCTGGTTGCTGCTCTTCCCCACACAAAAGATATATGACTAAACATTAACGTTGCTAATTCTCCTGCACTGCCATGCCTTTCCTGCAAAAGCGAAGGCGAAGGCAAAGGGATGGGCCAGCCATTAGGGTTTGTTTTTTTTTTTCATCAGCATATCCGTACAGACTGGGAGAGTTTAGTCTGCCTTCATAATCACTGTGGGTAGAAATGATCTCCAATTGTCACGTTCACTTCAAAACATTTCTCCTTTGTCTTGAACTAGGTGGAAGCAGCAACTGATTCAGACAACGATAGTAAAGGCTTACGGGAGTATCATTCGGTTGGAGTGCAAGTGGAAGATGATAAACGGTAGGTTGGGCCATTTCTGTCTATGTTTTTGTCTGCTTGATGTATAGTATAGATGTCAGACTCAAAACCAAGACTGGCACATGGTAATTCTTCCAAGCTGAGTTCTTTATTGTTTCACACCTGTAGACAAAAATCTTGCCAGATGTGTACCCTTCTCCCTACACACATACGCACATGTGACAAGAGTTCTACAGGTGTTTATTCAAACCCCCCACATAGGTCCTTGGAAAGCAGCCCTGTTGCACAGGTCTGGATTCCAAGGTCAGCACAGCAAGAATCACTGGGTAACCGAGTCCACTGGGCACACACACAATCCAGGAAAGCAGTCCAGGAATCAAACATGCTAGGATAAATGGCACAGAACTGGGCACATTGCTCCAGCAACACTCAAGTCTTCAGGGTGGGGTTAAGTAGACAGTGCCCTTCATGAGAGGTGAGGTAGACTACCTAGCTGACCGGCGTTGTGCCTGTCTCCTCTCTGCTCTACGTGTTCTTGGATCAGGAGGAAGTGTGAACTCTACCTCCTCTTCATTGCTAAGGGGAGGCAGCTGCTCTCAGTCCTCACCTGGAGCCTCCAGGCCAACTTGCTGCAGCTGTGGTTCACCTCTCTCAGCCTCAGCCTGTCGCTAGTCTGACCAACACAGCTGAGGCTGCTCCATCAGGTTAGCCTTCTCTGAGCTCCAATCCTGACCCTGACTAATATTCAGCTCCACACTTTCCTCTGCAGACTCAAACTCACCCTCCTCCTCTGAACTTGCATCTGGAGAGGGGTCTGGGAGTGGATCCATGACACCAGACTGAGGAGTCATCTACAATATACTCTAGGAAGAAGAGGCTGTCTTCACCCTCTTTCTCTCACACATAATATTTGGGATGAGTTGCCTCTTACTCCTCTGGAATTCACTCCCTCCCTCCTGGGAATTCATCTCCTCACTACATTACATTCCATAAGATCAGAATTTCTCAGCCTTAGCAACATGAAGATCTATGGATTTCAACTTCATGCTGGGAATTCTGAGAATTGAAGTCGATATATATTCAAGTTGTCAAAGTTGAGAAACACACAGATATAGTAATGTGCTCACAGATATCTATTGTTTCCAAATAACAATGACAATCTTTTCTCAAACCCCATCATCTGCACCCTCTGTTTTAAACTTCATGGTTTTTAACTCATTTATTTCTGTTTAGTTTAGTGATAATGTGTCACTGTAGCATTTACAAAACACTCCTAGCTTCTATTGTGAGAATAAATCAACATTTGCTTTTGAAATTAAGTTTGAGTAATTGATTTGTATCTTGCTTTGGGTCATTAATAACCATTTATCCTGTAAAGACTGCAGTCCATTCATGTTGTGCCTTTCAATCTTTATATTCATTGTTATTAATATTTCTAAAGCTTTTCTTAAAACCCTGAAAATAGTAGATGGTGCCTTCTTTTTATAAACATTGTCAATATATGGATCAGTGTGTTGTTTTTCCATTTTACTCCAGCCATGGACGATTTAAGCGCTCAAACAGTGTAACGGCAGCTGTTCAAGCCGATTTAGAACTTGAAGGCTTTCCTGGACACATAACAATGGAGGACAAGGGACTTCAGTTTGGTGGCTCTTTCCAGAGACATTCAGAGCCAAGTACTCCTACTCAGTATGGTGCAGTAAGAACTGTACGGACACAAGGCCTCTTTAGTTATAGAGAAGATTATAGGACCCAGGTTGACACCTCCAATCTCCCGCCACCTGAACCCTGGTTGGAACCATCCATTGAGACCATTGAAACAGGACGAATGTCTCCATGTCGACGGGATGGGTCATGGTTTATGAAGCTGCTACACACTGAGACTAAAAGGATGGAAGGATGGTGTAAAGAGATGGAGAGAGAAGCAGAAGAAAATGATCTTTCTGAAGAAAGTAAGAATATATCTTTCCGTGCTTATTTTTATTTTACAGTTTTTAATCTATTCCCTTCTGTACTGTGGCTGTTATGACTTTGCATTTTGGAGTTGGACAAAAGAGGGAAATTTTGATGGACCGTGTACCTGGCCACTGCATTGCAGAGTGACTTCCCCAGAGTACTTCCTTTGCTTGTAAAAGCTGAAACTTCTACATTTCTATATAAAATCACATGAATATGTTTCCTTGTAACTACTGACTTCCAGATATGAAAGAGAATTCAGATGGGATTCCAAACATAAAACACAATACACTAAACTTTTAGAGAGAGGAAGAATTAGATTAGGAAGTATTTGACTCTTGCCTTCATTATATATTGCTAGCTTTAAAGAAAAATAGATCAAATTAATACCAGAAGCCCAGTAGAAATATATACCATTTCGAAGGTTAACATATTTTATGGATTCTATTTTCTAAGTTCTTATTAAAAGCTTACTAGCTTTTTGTACACTGCTTTATAGTAATTCTGAGTAAAACTGTTGTCCACCAATCAGTTTTGCCATCTGTATAAATTACTCATGTGCTGATCACCTCATGATTGCATTAGTGCAATGTGCCCTCAAAGACCACCTAGAAGCTATGGCTGGTTCAGAAAGCAGCTGTGCAAGCAGTAGCAGACGCCTCTTGGTGTGCCCATGTGTCACCACTGTTACACCAGCTGCATTGGCTTCCAGTCAGCTTCAGAGTGGAATTCAAGGTGCTGATTTTTACCTATAAAGCTCTGTTTGGCATATGACCTGGATATCTAAGATAATGCATTTGAGTCTCCAATTGTTTCTGCCCACCCACTACATTCTGGCAGAGTGGGTGTGGTCCAGGTCTCCAGTATAAAGCACCATCTTGCAGGACTGAGGAAGTGAATCTTCCACCCTCTGAAAAACAAGAAAGGCACCCTTTTTTCTGGAGTCCCTGAAAGCTTCGAAAACCTGGCTTTGGTCCCAGGCTCGAGGTTGATATTTATTATTTGTTCAGTGGTCCCTGTTTTGTTTTGCTTTGCTTTGTTTGATTTTGCTGTGTATATGATTATTTTAATCTGGAATGTCCATCTGATACGATGTTTTTATTTGATTTGATATTTTTTCTAGTTTTGTACACTGTCCAGAGTCTATTGGAATTGGGCAGATAGTAAATTCAAACGGAAGATATAAATAGTTTAGTATAATGTTAGTAAAATATAAGCAAAGCATGTTATGTAAATCATACTTAGAACTAGTATCAATAATAGAAGTGATTGATGCATTTTCAGTTCTGAACAGTACACACATTCTTAAAAATTGGAAAAACTGTTTTCGAAACTGGTGTTTTATCAGTTATATTAGAGAAGTAAGCATACTATATTCTATCTTGGTTATTGTATATTATTTTCTACAGATAAGGACTTGTCTGTCTTTCATTCAGTTATCAACAGCAGTCCAAACTCCTGTCAATAGAAACAAACATTGAATAGGAAGATTGAGGAAAGAAATGTTTCAATTTGCCCTAGAATAAGAGTAAAACATTTTCTAATAGGTACAAGTTACAAGGGAGATATATTGTGTTTTGTGCTAAGACAAGTTGACTTTGGAAAGCTACAATATAAATTGCCCTCCACTCTTTCCATGTAAAACATAAACAGGTAGCAGGTCAGAAAGAATTGTAGAACTTTTGCTCTATTGAATACAAAAATAAGCATGCCTTGCTCTACATTAGAAATAATTGGTTGGATCCAGAGAAACTTCATCAAGCAAGCAAGCAAATGAAGGGATGGTTTTTCGACAGTAGTTCTTCAATGTTAGCCCATTCGTTAGCTAGCAAACTTAGTTGAATTCTATATCAGATAAAATAGATTGTGTACTTCCATTTTAAACCATTTTTCAAAGTTAAACATTTATTAAACTATTTTCAATGTTGCACAAATAGAATTTATTTAAATGATGCTTTGTTTCCTGAAAGGACTGAATTTCTTCAGACATGTTTTTAATGTAATTAAACAAACAAACAATATTTCTCTTTTTAGTTCTAACATGAAATCAGTTGAACTTTTAGCATTCCAAATTCTTTGAAGACAAACAAAAACGTGCCCCAAAAATATTTTAAAAGAGCTATATAAATTTCCTTCAACCTGCTCATCTTAATCTACGTAGAGTACAAGTTTCATTTTATTCCAATATTCAATATTCAAAAATATAATAATTCTGCAATAAAAAAGGAAAATCTTGTCATTAGTAGTTACAGTATTTCAATTCAGTAAAGCATGCAAGAAATAACCAGCTAGGGTATGGTAATAACATTATGTGAAATAACAAAGAGTTTGGTGACATCTTAAAGGCTAGCCAACATGTTGTTCTCTTTATCTGCTATGACAGTTTTTGGAATTTGTCACAATTTGTAAAGCATGTCGATCAACAGATGAACAAGGTGAATGCATCTTCAGGAGACGTTATGACCTTCAGACAGCTCAAGTCAGATACCATTATATGGCGAAATTGGGTGCTTAGTAGATTTTGTAGGAAAATTTGTGCAATTGAAATGTCTGTATTTATGTGTCTATTAATTTAGTTCTTTGAGATATAACTGGATAGCATTTATCAAATACTGTAGTTCAGTTGTGCTTCTTGTTCTTCTATCATTTATTCCTCCCAATAAAAGTTTGTGGTAGTCAAAGCAGAGATGCATCTTGAAAGTCAGCAGTTTTTGTGAGTGCAAATTTCATTAAGATCCATACCAGTGGGATTCCAGGACTTGTGTCCATGTACCCCTATTAATTATACATCTGCAATGTACAGTTAATTAACTTTTTTGTGTGTGCTGTTTCAAGAGAATACTTTTGAAGCAACTGCTTATATATAGCCCACTACTACAATACTGTTTCATTATTCCCCACTGCAGATTCAATGGATGTGTCAGGTTGCTTTTACAGAATATGGCCATCCTGCAGTCCTTTGATTAAAAGATGTGAGCTTGTAATGTATACCTACATTACACCTTTTCACCTCATAATGAAAATACCAGTCTCAAAGCATCAGCAATTCATATCTTCAGACCAACAATCTTGGTGATTGTGTTGATGGTCCTGGTAAAATATCACTTTTAGACCATGAAAGGAGATGTTAGATTTTCACAGACATGATGATGATTGCCACCCTATAATGCTCTTTGTGAATGATTAACTGTAAGGAATTCATGGATAGCATCTAATTTTTGTCAAAGTCATGGGATCACTCTTCTTTTAACGTTGTGTGAACGGAGAAGACATATATGAAAAGTTTGTGTCTTTTTGTAATTCATTCTCAGGAGAATTAGACAGAAATGTGACACTGATTTTTGTACAAGGAGAGGGGCTTTGAAACTTTGGGGGAAAAAACAAAACCCACATCTTCATAGTACAGTAACGTTAGCTGTTACTCAGCTATATGTGACAGGAAACTTTATTATACAGTGTAGGGTTCCCAATGGCATGGAGAAAATTTAGGCTCCAAATTGAAATTGTTTAGACCTTTGCTGAATATGGTTTCCTTTACCAATCTGTGGCAAAAGTAAAAAGGAATGGGAGAAGAAGGGTTGTTATTGGTTGTAGAACAATGAACTTCCCTTGTTTTTGTGATTGTTGTACAGTTTGCAAAATGCAATTTATAAGTTTAAGATTATTTTTTTGTCCATAATGTTGAAGCTAGGTGCTCAGTAATAAAGAATGGCATATTCTACACACATATGTTCCTGTGTACACACACACCATTCAAACATCATGCATTGCATAAGTCATCTTTCAAAATGAATTATATGTTAATTTTAACATGTAATTAGTTAATTTAATTAGATTTGGCCAAACATATCTTTAAAAAATGGTCGTCGTCCCTGCTGCCATTTGAGAGAGCTTTCTTTGGATCAACAAAGAAATTGTGGTTTCCTCGTGATCGATGAAGTGCCTCTCCCTTCTTCACCACCTCTCCAGGATGGCTTGACCCCATAGGGTCTCCCAGCAAGCAATTGTTGGCTGCATTTCATAGAGCCCGGCAGTGCTCCACTATTTTCCAGCCATTCCCACCATGATGTCAACCAAAAATCTCAACTTTGGTAGAGTTTTGCCCATTCTACTCTCTACACTGGGATTTGAATTGCAGTTATATTTTGCATGTCAGCACAAAACATGAATATCTGGTAAACACTGAACTTGACATGTTAGTGACAGAAACACCTGGATGTTCCATAAAAAGTAGATCAGCAGAGAATAGGATTCTAGTCAATGCAGCCAGGATTTTTACATTATTTTCTGAGGGGATGAAATAGTATACAGTAAGATTTGATCATATGCTTTCACCTTGATTCCTTTGCAACTTGAGAAAATAATTTCTTTTCTCAGGCTTCTCATGTGGCTTTTTCCAATATTGTTTAAGCTGAACTGATCTCTGATTTTCTTTCTCGAATATAGTTTGAAAAGCCTGTGCATCTAATTGAATTCATAACCAAAGAGCAAGGATAATCTAGATTAAGCCTTGGTTATACAAATATATTGGTTGTTTCCTTGCTTCAGATATAAATTGATATTCACCCTTCCTCTTCAGTTCTAGGTAAGATTCGAAGTGCTGTAGGAAGTGCACAGTTGCTAATGTCGCAAAAATTCCAGCAATTCTATTGGCTTTGTCAACAGAATTTGGTAAGTTAACATTTTAAACATTGCATAGTATTTCTAAGTTATTTATTATTTTTCTTCAAATTTAAATGCTACTATTTTATTATTCATCTGGAGATTAATTTCCATCAGAGGACATTTAATTCCACATCTGCTAAGCAGACAATTCCACGCATAACTTGTGCATAGAAGCTTTATTATTTGTTTATCTTGTTGTGCAGTACCTATTGCCTGAGCTTTAAAGAGGAAGGCTCCAGTTCTCCTATGACCTATGAGCATTTCAAAGTCATCTGGGAATTCATTGCATCGCAGCATGATCTGCATTAACGCCTTGGTCTGGACATAAAGTGATAAGGATTGCAATAAGATTGGATTGAAATAATGTTTGGTATCTTTTTTATATTTGATAATATACATTTTTATATTAGAAATCACCTTGTGAGGGCATGACTTAGAAACTGGTCCTAAAAAAGCACTCCATTATTTTAAAAATACATTAATAAGGTTTGAAAACTTGCTCTATCAAAATAAAAAGAATTAGGAATTCCACCCTGGATGGTGGAGCGTGAATACTTAGTACATTGAATAAATCATAATTTCTCCAAATCCATTTAAGGACTCTGGGGGGCATCAAAGGTTATTTTATAAAGCTCTATCAATTTTTGTCTTGCAGTATAGTCAACCCAAAACAGATTGTTTTGGTCTATAAAATATTAAAAATAGTAATCTATCTTATTCATCTATCCACCCTGCAATAGATTCCCCATTCTTTCCACCACAAAGAATATAGTGGGGAATATACTGGACCAAGGGGATTTTGAAAGTGATTGTTCAAAGGAGAGGAACAAGAATTCCCATTCCTTGACCAAAAGGGTTCTTGTATATAAAGTTTGCTTTCGCCTACCTTTGAAGCTCTGGAAATCCATTGTTGTTTTAAACTTTAAACAATAACTTTGTAGTTAAAAACTATAAAGAATGAGATCTCAAGGGATATTAGCAGGTGGATAAATGGACATCTACAGTAATTATATTGTATTATTTTGTTGATAATATCACTAACTATTTTAATAACCAAAATCCTTTTGGAAATGAGAACTTGTTGTGCATTCTCTTGGCTTCAATCAGTAATTTTACCTCCCTGGCATAAATTCCAAATTCACATGGACTATGATAATCATGAGCCAATGGCTGCTAATCTAAAAGGCTGACAGACTACAAGAATTAATCAAATGTTCTAATGTCTAAACTATTGAGCAAAATTGCCATGACATCTTTCCCATCAATTTGGGGCAAAATACCCACAATACCTTTTACAATTAGCTTTGTTTCATTGCTAAATTAAATATGAGGAAGGCTTCTGCTGGTCAATATTGCCAGCAAAGAACAATGTTACTGTTATATTGGTTTTTCCTAGAACTAAATAAAATTTTGAGGGGGCATCAGAGGATGTGACCTATAAGTCTGTCTTATTTAAAATCAATCATTCTGTAATATTTGCAGTTTAACCTTTACCAGCATGAGAAAGTGCTTTTTCTACCTATGTCTATTTGAAATTTGCTATCCAGTAAGATTAAACCAAACCAAGGTTTCAAGAAAACATATATATGAAATGGACATAGTCTTCAGTTACAATTGCTGGATTTTGATTCATAGAATTAACATTATTGGCACCCGTGCCAGATTGTCCTTGTCATTGTGTCTCCTTCTCCTTCTCTTTATCCTTCTTTTCTTCCACACCTGTAGGTAGGGAGAAGCTATGGCAATAGCACTTAGACTTATATACCGCTCCACAGTGCTTTTACAACTCTCTCTAAGCGGTTTACAGAGTCAGCATATTGCCCCCAACAATCTTGGTCTGCAAGTGATTACATGTGCATCATAATGGCAGAACATAAGCCCTGTGTCCAAAGTCAAGATACAAATTCAATTGGGTGACTTTAGGTCATGTTGAAATTATACCCAGTTTCACTTTTTCCTAATTATAGCTAGTTGTGGCTGCTAAGCCTTAGTGTATCCCAGAGAATTCCCCCACATCCATTGAGAGTATCAAAATATCCGACCCATACAAGTAGAGGCACATTTTATGAAAGCAAAGCTTCCACTGGATTTAACCCTTTCTTTTTGCTTCTCCACATTCTTTCTGTGCATGTTCTTCACTACATACCTAAGATGACCAGTGGAAACTAAGTTTTCCATATGCATTCGAATTGTAAAGTGCTTTGAACCACATGCCTACCAACACTGGCAGGGCAACGTACTGCATACAAAAAAGGAGTAAATCCCACACTCAATAGCACTGATAGAATTACCTGGTTGGGTAGTGAAGTGTCTGCAAGCATGTCCAGTGTTGTTCAGTCACATAATAGTAGTAGAAATTCAACTCACTGTATGACTCTCAGACAATTACCGTACTCTTTTTCAGTTGAACAGACCTCACAAGATTCTTGGTGTTCAGAAAAAAAAAATAGTGGAGGGAGCACTATGAATGCTAGCTCCTGAATAAAAGGAATATGATTAGAATTTAAAAACAACAGCAGCAAGGGTGCAAATTCATGAGAGGATCATTTTTAGTAATGAGATGTTGTGAGTTGTGCTATTTCCCCCAGTGGCACAGTGGTTAAAGTGCAGTATTGCAGGCAAACTATGCCCACAGCCTGGAGTTCGATCTTGATGGGCTCGAGGTTGACTTGGCCTTCCATCCTTCTGAGGTCAGTAAAATGAGGACCTAGATCCATGATGGTGAACCTATGGCACATGTGCCAGAGGTGGCACGCAATACCCTCTCTGTGGGTACGTGAGCCGTCGCTCCAGTTCAGCTGCGCTGTGCATGCATGCGTGCCTCTCGCTGGCCAGCTGGTCTTCGGGTCTCTGCCATGCATGCATGGGAATGGGGAATACACGCACATGTGTGGGGACGGGGCCCATGTGGGGGCCCATGTGTGCATGCGCAGGGGGTGTGGGGTGCGGGGGTGTGGGGTGCATGCACGGGGGCTGAGCACACATTGCATTTTGGGGAATTGGGTGCGCCTGTACGCATTCAGCCATGCGCACCCGTGCTTTCAGCACTCGGTCTGGAAAAGATTAGCCATCACTGACCTAGAATGTTAGGGGCAATATGCTGACACAGTAAATCTCCCAAAAGATCCTGTATACAAGTCTAAATGCTATTGCTATCAAAGGCTGGTAATTAGCCAACAGGAGTCTCAGATGGCAGATGTGAAGATACATCGTGATAACATAAACATGTATTTATCTTTATAACACGGAAAAGGCCCAGTGCTGCCACATAACCGGGTCAACTACCATTCAGAAATTCAAGACGTTAAGGAGAATGTAACTGATAGAAGTTATTTGTCCAGATTTTTGTAGATAGACAGTCAATATAAATATTTCAACTCCTTTTAAGTAGATGATGTGTCATTCTTGAATAAGCTGAGGCACACATGTTTCATTTAACAATAATTTGCTTGTAACCCCACCATTGAAAGAAAGAAATACAGAAGTCAACTTTCTTAAACTTGTTCGATGGAAGAGAGTTTGAGACATAGTCCAAGTTGTAGACTCTTAATACAATTTACCTGTGGATTCATATGAAGGGTGTTCTATAAATCTCTAGGCAATGCCAAACATGGTATCTTTAGCTCATTATAGAACTTTAGAATATACTCTCCTGAGTTACATTCATAGACGAAAACCAAAAATATAATAAATTTAGCTAATAAATTTAATAAATAAAAGAATTCCAGCCAACCAAAACTGACCATTTGTATATTAAACAGCAGCCCTCTGTATTATATACCTGTTCTGAAACTGGGGGAGATTCTAAAAGAATCCAGAACAAATTAATTTAAAAAAAAAAACCAAATACAGACCAGTGCTCAAGCTTTGCTCTTTAAGAAATCAAAAACTGGTATAACCTAACGCTTACATTAATTACCATCTATTTAATATCAATGCTAAGTTAATGATAAATTGCCAAACTTCCTTTCATTCACAAATTTGTAATGCTAGAACAGACATATGTTCACACACAAATACAGATCTACAGACACACTGCTGAAGCTGTGTCTCCCTACCTGATAGATGACCTTTAGGCATCTGCAAATCCCATTATTTCAGTTAAAGTGACAAGTGATGTCTTTGAAATCCATCATGCCTTGAGGTTGCTGGGTGGGGAAAGATGGCCTAAGTACCTTTTATATCACATTTTTCCGAAACAAGATTTTTCTACATGCACCAAGCTACTAGAGATTAATGCTGCCACTGTAATGAGATCAGAGCTCAAAGCACTGTGTAAGTCAATACAGATGTGCTAACGTGATCCAGGCCCTTTCTGTTAGCTGTCTTCCTCTGGACGTAATCCTTTTATTTGGTCTGCTGTAATTATTATTATTATTTTAAGATGCATAACTTCCTGAGTAAGATTACATTTAAGGATGCCTCAAGATGAAGCATCTCTCTTATTATGTATGCCTTTTGAGGAAATTGTATTAGTCTGGAGCCATACATGTTATTATAGATATATTTAGTTCAGCAGCATGAGACCGTCCTCTTGTGGCCAAAAGCAGATAAAGCAAGCTTCATTTAAGGAAACAACTAGGCTGAAAAATTAGGTAGTTGTGCTACAGATTGTTTCAATACCAGATCTTTGTTCAGAAATAGCCAAACTTACAGGTCATAAATAGAGGGCTTCTGTACCTTCTAACTGATAGATGCTTAAGCTTATTTTAGTTTAGTTTAGGCAATAATCAATGGGAGGTGAAGTGATGTTCAGGAGAAATTCATCAATCGCTTTCCTTATCTTGATAAAGGTTATGATAAAACTTGCCAAGAACTGAAGGAATTCTCACAAACCAAGGCCACAGAATAATGGATTTAAGTTACATTTGTAGAACAAACTTTGTAATGTTAAGACTAATTCAATAGCTGAACTAATTACCAAGTGAAGTTGAGAGAAGTCCCCCTTTCCTGGATTTTTTTAAGCAAAAAGAAAAGTATTAAGTATGTTTTAATCAGGGATTTCTGCATTCAGCAAGGGATCGAACTTTGATGGATTGAGTCTTACATCCAACATTTGACCATTTATATAATGCCAAACATGTTCTACACCCGAGTTTTCAAACAAATGACATTTGGTGGTTGTTGTTTTTTATTTGTTTGTTTGGTGAATATGGCAGGATCCCAGTGCTATGCCCCGACCAACTTCACAGGACCTGGCAGGATTCTGGGACTTGTTACAACTCTCAATTGAAGACGTCAGTATGAAGTTTGATGAACTGCATCAGATGAAACTGAATGAATGGAAAATAATAGAATCACCCGAAAAAAAGGTAAGCACAATCTAGTTGCTTGTGGTGCATTTCTTTGACTTTTAAGCCTGAAATTATTTTTCTTGTGAAATCATTAGTGGACAACACTCTCCAGAGGTGCAGGGAACACAGCAAGTACCATGGCAGGTATTTCTTGGCATGCTGGCACACATAATACCATAGTGAACTCCTTCTTTCCTTCCTTCCTTCCTTCCTTCCTTCCTTCCTTCCTTCCTTCCTTCCTTCCTTCCCCTTCCATCTAGAATTTATGTGCTACTCAGACCAAAGCTCAAAGCAGCTTAGAAAATAATAAAAAAACATATTAAAATACAACTAAAAAACAAAAACAATAGAGACACACATACTTCTTCAACTCAGTATTTCAAGGAACAGCTTTAACAAGCAAACCCACAGGCAGGTTCTTCTCATGGCTTAACTATTTCCCAAGGCAAATTAATCCCAATTTTCTGGCACTGAGATAAGACTTCACCTTATCTCCTGTTTAGCCTAGGAACAACATATACAACTATCATCTGTATGCTGATGAAACTTGATCTTTTGACAGAGGATGACCTTACACAACAGCTTACCATAGATATGAAATAATTTTCAACCTTGGACCAGTCTGTAATGGAGAGGTCTAGGGCATGACCTCTTCCCTTCCACTACTATTGACTGGAACTTCTCTTTCAAAAAGCAGGCAAGTGACTGCACAATAATTCCCCCAACTCCAAATCCTCAGAAGTGGTCCTGTAAGATAACATAATTGGTAATATCAAAAGTTCCAGCTAGTGAGAGTTCCAGCAAGATCAGCTGTAGTCCCACTGACCTGTGGTTGCCACAGGTTGCCCAAAGGAGTGATCAAAGATAATTGTGCTGACTGCTGGCTGCCAGCAGTTTGGCAGTTCGATTCTCATTGGCTCACAGTTGACTCAGCCTTCCATCCTTCCGAGGTCAGTAAAATGAGGACCCAGATTATTGGGGGCAATATGCTGACACTCTAAACTGTTTAGAGAAGGCAGTAAAGTACTGTGAAGCGGTATATAATCTAAGTGCTATTGCTATTGGACAGAATATTTGGATTTTCTGAAACCGAGATTAGAAATATAATGTGAAAATTATGTACTAAGGATTAATCATCTCTTTGGTAAAATTACCTGGTCCAATTATGCCTTGAAATCTCACAAAACTGCAAAATTTTCATGAGTTCTTATATTGTCATCTTGACTTCATGTTAAGATGCATATTTTGCAGAACCATCTCATAAGCTCTTAGCTAATGTTTGATCACTTTGCAACATTTTGACCATTATTGTAATCTAATTTGGAGAATTGTCAGCTCTTTGTTAGTTTAAGTTAAAGCAATCTCCCTATACTGAGCAAAATGAATCCTGAATATTAAAAGGAACACAATCTTATTAGCTCCTTTTTGAATACTTGTTCAGTCAACAGCCTGGCCAGGATTTTAGTAAAGAAGGAGCACAGAAATGTGCACATAGCTGCTACCTCATTTGTAGTGAAGAAACACATTAGTATATAAAATTTGTCTTTATATTGTTTTTACCTTACCTCTAAAGCTGAGAATTATTAATAAAGCCAGTTAAATATTAGCCCCATTGATTTCAGTGTGAGAGTTTAAAATTCAGTTTTCTCTTCCATGAAAGTTAAATACTTCAAATTTATATTTCTAGCTGCATCCACTCTTGTCAGATGAATTTAGTTAAAAGTTAACTAAATAAATAATAACTTAAATAAAAAGTGCTCAGGACACTAGTGCTCCATTCTGTTCACTAGTAGGGAGTACAAGGAGATCATATGTTTATTTATCTCTACTTGTCCTAGAAGATCTAGTAGAAACAGTATGCTACAAATTCATTCCGGGAAACAATGGCACCTAATGGGATATAGGAAGTGTGCCTATTCTGTTGTAGCATCTGCCCTATGGAATACTGTTTCACCTACATGAAGGGAGGGAAAGAGGGATAGAGGGAGGAAGGAAGAAAGGAAAAAATATAGAAATGATAGATGATGGATAGATAGATGATAGATAGATAGATAGATAGATAGATAGATAGATAGATAGAAGATAGATAGATAGATAGATAGATAGATAGATAGATAGATAGATAGAAGTGGGTGGGAGGGAAGGAGAGGGGGAGAGGGGGAGATTAATAAAATTCTTTTCTAGACTTCTATTGCTACCATTAATTAATTAATGGTCCATTAATACCTAATGCATATTTATATTTGGAACAGAGATAAGAGAACATACTTGATTGTTGCAAATAAAGGAGAGAATGCTCCAACCTGTAGGGCAATGCAGACCAAAAAACCATGATGATATCAAAATGATGAAACAGAGACTCTAACAGGTCTCATCATTGCACATAAATACATGAGGGGCAGAACTTGTGTGGCAATGCACATTTTTGTCCCTCATCCTCATGAACTCAGCTAACATTGGTCAGTGGCTACCGTGCTTGGGTCAGTCACTACTGTCATGGATGCCTCACAGGGAGGCACCTGCAGCTTCCAGGGAAAGTCCCTGAATGAGGCCCATAATGTACCTTCTTTAGGCTCCCTTCCTTCTGTGCTTCATTTCTTTTTTCCTCCCCTGCATCTTAGGAAGAGAGAAAGGTTCCTCCACCTGTACCAAAGAAGCCCCCTAAAGGAAAATTCCCCATCACCCGAGAGAAGTCTTTGGATCTGCCCGACCGACAACGCCAAGAAGCTCGAAGACGCCTCATGGCTGCTAAGCGGGCAGCCTCTTTCCGGCAAAACTCCGCTACGGAGCGTGCAGACAGCATTGAGATCTATATTCCAGAAGCCCAAACGAGGCTTTAAAAGACCCAGATGCTGCATCGTTGCTTCCTCTTTTTTAAACAAACGAAGGAACCAAGCAAGTGCTTCTACAGCTGGTCTCCTCTTCCCTGCTCTTTTTTTCCTCCCTATTCCTGGCCCCCTCCCTGCCCTGTTGTTGTCTCCTTTGTGCCAGACGCACAACAGAATGCTGTTTATGTCCTCAGAATTTGCTGAGCCCGTTGCAAGAATCCCTGCTCTTTTCTTTTTTGTATTATTAGGATCGGACTACACCAGTCAGCTCCAATGCATAGGGCTTGTTGAGACCTTACCTATAAAAATTATGTTCTCAGAGGACAACAGGAAACACCTCTTGAGATGGAACCCAGCTTACTTTTTTGGTTATTTATATTTTTATAAATGATGCGATAACTAGGAATAAGAAAAAAAAAACCACAAACTTTGAATTGGGTGCATCTCTCCATTCACCAGAGGCATTAGCTAATTCAAGTAGAAGGTGCTACAAATGTAAAGTGCAAGAAAAGAAGGAATCCATTTCTCTCCTCCCTTCCCTTCCCTTCCAGCTTCAGTTTCTTTGCCTTGAACCCGATTAGATTTTCTGCCCACGTGCTCGGCAATTCTGCTTCTCTTGGTTACTGCAAACTCGCACCAGGTCTCTCCTCACATCTCACACTGAGTTTTTGGAGATGAACAGAAATATCCAGCCATGAAAACTCCAACATTCATCCAGAACAGAGAAGCATAGGAATCATTTCCAATTGGGAAAATCTGTCCCTGAAAGAAAGTGTCCTCCTTGGACACCCATCCAGAAATCTGAAGGAAAAATGCAAAGGAACTTGAAGAAAGAGGAACAAAGGAAAGCCTTAAGAATTTTGATCATCTGTAGCAAGATGTGAAAGCTCTATTTACTCTTTGAGAACATTCATTACATTTTAAACAGTTCTTTTATGTTGTACTTCTTTCATTTGTGAACACTCTTTTTTTTTTAATTTGAAAAGCGATGCTACGCGTAATATTTGAAGTTTCAAAATGCTAGATCAATTGAGTTTCCAGGGTATCCTTTCAAACAAAAAACAAAACACAAAAAAAGTTTGCTTGTTTAAAATACCAGTTGTGATGTTGTAACCAGTTTAAGAAATATGAATGTGAGTGGTAAGTATATCTCAGTTTCAATGGTAATCTTAAGGTAAAAAAAGGTGAACTGTGGTTTACATTTGTATTTTTTTTCCAAAATTCTTTTTTCCTATGCAGTATGAATTAAAGATAAGAAAAAGTTTCTTGATTGTTTCAGACGTAAAGAACATGTTTTAAAAAACATGTGGCTTCTAACAGTAGAATGTAAGAAAGGTAGCATGTTTCTAAGTTCTTGATCAACATCACAGCAAAAGCTAGAAATTACACAGAAGTTTAACAAATTCTGAGAATAATGCATTATTGTTTTTGCCTTCTTAAAGGCTGTGATCCAAGTTTTTGAATCTTTTCAGGTGAAGATACAAGAAAACATATCCCGCCACTATCGAAGTCAGAATTCTGAGTCATACAAAATATTAGAACAGAGTCAAGATTCTGTTATCAGTCTGTTAAACAAAATGTATTTAGCCATAGACAGAACCGCTATTTAAACTACAGCACTTTGATTCTTCACCTTGATGAGCACTTTAAATATGTAGTTTGCGAGCCCTTCAGCTTGTCACATGACTGAAAAATGCTAGACATTTTAACAGCAATCTCCAACCAGGTGCCCTCCATAGATGTTGAACTACATCTCCCATCATGCTAGTTTGCATGAACAATAGCAGTGTTATATAAGAATTGTACAAACGATGGGGAAGTTTAGTCCTAATGTATCTCAAGAGCACATGTTGGAGATTGCTGTTGTAGGAAGTAAAGAAGACATTAGGGTTTCCATCCCTCATCCCCCTTTCTTCCAATATATTTTGTTAAGCATGCATTCTGTTTTAGGACAAAGCTGATATAAGCATGTTTAGCTTCAAGATACGAATCTTTAGAGTTGAATGTTTGAGAAGGAGGGAACACTGTAAATTGAGCCTGATCTCTTATGTAGAATTTACCAAATAGCCTTAAATTGCATTTGGAAGCAAAAAAAAAAACAAAAACAAAAACCCATGAGGAATGTACAGCATAAAGAAAGAAAGAAAGAAAGAAAGAAAGAAAGAAAGAAAGAAAGAAAGAAAGAAAGAAAGAGAAAGAAAGAAGACGACAACAACGATTAACAATAATAATGAAATATTAATATTCCTGAACTATTAGTCTGTGATGATTAAGATATTCCCATCCACAGAGTATTCAAAGAATTTCTGCACTTGGAAATAAATTGATTTTGGGGTAGTGTACAATATTAATGCTGCTTATAGTTTTGTTTTAAATGCAAGAATATCTGCAGGGATAAGGCATCTTTAAAGATAACTTTATTTCAAATGGAGCTGTTAATTAGAAATAACTACATGGAAATAAAAGAATAAAATATGCATTTCTTTGAGACAGCAGATTTGAAATATATCTTTCTCTCCTTCTGCTACATCCCTATTATGCTGCTATGTTTTTATTTCATTTTATTTTATAAATATTGCGAAATCACATGTGCTTTTCATCCTTCCTTTATATAGATAAGGGACTGAGGGTGATAAAATGATCTACATTTGATTCACAACCATAGCATACCCAGAGACAAAAAAAAAAGTTCCTAGCTATGAAATAGAAAGCTTAGAACAGCTAACCATATTTGCACATCAATGCCCTCCAATATTGTTTGCACAAAAAAATCATTAAATTTTAAACTGTTTTTGCTGGAGCTGTAATTAGTGATTGCACAGTTAGGTGCTTCTGTATTCAATATTCGGTTTCTACTATTTGCAATGTATGTTAGTGTACCAGCAATGATGACAACAACAAAAATATATGCTAGATTGAAAAAGCACATATAAACACCCACAGCTCCAGCAAATATACATATTTTTTTTTAAAAAAAAGGTGTATATCCAATTCACATACAATTAATATAATATATAGTTTGATCCTTTCTCTAAGAATTTAAGAGAGGTTCCCAAAGGAAAAATTCACTTCCGGGACAAACAAAATGTTATTCAAAATAGTCTGAAGTTCTTTTGGGGGTTTTTTTTTTTTTACATAAAATCATTTTTTAAAAGCATACTCTCATTGAAAAGGAAGGCAAAATATATGAAGGGTAAATTTGGCTCTTTTGAAAGTTCTACGCTAAATTGTATGTTGCTCACGCAGTGATGGGAATATGTTGAAGGAATGCCTTTGCCACTGTATGTCCCCGTTTGTTCCACTTCTGTTCCAAAGAAAAATCTTTAAAATGTAAACCAGATGCCTTCTGCCCATTCCAATGAAATGTTACCTGTTCACAAGTTGAGTTTTTAAGTGCAATATATTTAATCTCTTTTATATAGGAAAGATTAAAACAATAATGGCAAATAATAAGCCATGCTTCTTATGTATTATATTTTTAATTTGGGAGAGGGAGATAAAAATTAGTCTTTCTATTACGTGTGTCACAAGTCATTCGGCCCTGTCTAGAATGAATGTGAAAAGTAATATATTTGAGAATGACTTGCAGTGCTTTTGATTTAAAGACTCTTTCAACAGTATAAAATACAACTGTATATTGCAGGACCATTGAAAATTAATCACTTCCATTTCAATTATGACTATATTCCTGTTTCAAGACACAGCAAAGTTAATGAGTTTGGGAAATAAAATGCTCTAATTCTAATAACAATAGACAAAATAATAGTAAAACTTGCAAAATAGTGTCTCACATGCATACAATATCTGTTTAGAAATAAGATCCATTAAAATGCAGATGGTTTATTCTCAAGCCATGTGGGCGTGGAGTTGCAACCTGATTTTGTTTTGTTTTAATAAAAATGTACGTGTAATTATTAGAATCATGAACATTATTGCATTAGGTTAATAATGCTGTCCTTCATATATTTATTCAGAAATAAGCACTATATTTCATGGCATTTACTTCCACACTTTCTAATCCTAAACCCATATTCACGGTAGTGAGCCCCAATGAATTCTGTAAGCCTTAATAACGTATAGTTTTAGAGCTTGATGGCAAACAGCAGTCCTTATGCTGGCATATCTCAAATAGCCTCATTAAAGTTATTGCATCTTGTTTTCAAGTAAACATGCAAAGAATTAGCTTGAATGGAACAAATGTCTAAATGAAAGCGGAAACTATTCTTGACTTCCTTTTCCAGGAGTCTGGGCTATGGTTTATATCACCCGTCTTCCATTTTATGTCAGCCATTTATTATCATCTTTATTAACATTCTTTATGAGTTACATCCCATCATTTAAAACATCATTAGAGCCAATTACAGTAAAATATTTTGTATGTACATTATGATTTTACTACATAATTGATCTGAAAGGACTTTCTTGGAATAATATGCAAGGATGAAAATATCATTATGGGTAAAACCAAATGGTATTTGGTAACTTTTAGCTCATTATCAACAAACTAATTTTTCTCTTACCTACTTTACTTACAGCACATATATGTTGAATTCAGAAAAAAGATGTGGTTTTTATATAAAACATTCATTGAAAGCATTTTGAAAGACAGGAATTTGCTGTTTTGCTATTATACGCACAGTCACACACAAGCACTTAAGATTGGTTGTATCAAATGCATTCCAGAAGCCATGCATCTATTCAAAGATTTCCCTCTTCTACAAATGTAAAGGAGCCTTCAAAGTGAGCATGACACCACATCCTGCAGTTTTCTTAAGAACAATGCAAAAACCGTTTGCCATCCTGTCTTTCTACAAGGCTTTTCAGTTTAGCCTAGAGCTCTGCTTCTCTGGAGGAGTTCCCTCTAACTGCTAACTAGGGTGGACCCTGCTGGGCTTCCAGGCCCAAACATTGTACGTTATCATCAGCTAAAAATTCTGAAAGCCTGAAAATATGTTCGTTTCTTAGAAGCAAACTGACGAATGCTTATGTTATTCTGACTCAATTCTTCCCCTGCCAGAGCTCTCCTTCATGTAGAATTGTTAATCCCTGCACAAATGGATATTGACAGTGGATATTCAAAACATGTTGAGATAAGATTGGCTTAGGGGAGATCTCCCTCTTTCAGAAAATAATAATGGTATCTTTCCTTAATCTTTCCTTAATTTGTTAGTTTTAACAAATTATTTAATCTGGGCTGTAAAAGTACAGATGACCACTAAATTCTTACTTTGCTACCCTCTAGTGGATCTCCTGATACAGGCAGCCTTCCTTCTCCAGTGGCCAAGCAAGCAGCAGGAGATATAACTCAGAGATATAACTTTGGCCATTGTTTCCTGTACTATTAAGGCTTGTCAGTGAGTTTCCCCCCCCCCCCCCCCACCCCACTGTTACATCCTTCTGGCTCGTTTTCATCAGATTAGTTAGGCAAAATGGGCCAATTGGTGGGATAAAGATATTTCAATGACATAACCACTCATGTGAGGTTTAACCCTTAGAAGACAAAATATTGTTGGTATTTCCATAACCCAACAACAGCCCTCCCTCCTGATCTAGTTAAGATGCTGGAGGAATAGGACTGTTGTGACTCCATTTCTCTAAAAATAGTTTTGCACTAGTTTTACATTTGCACAACTGCAACTGGAGCTTCTTAGCACCTAGGAATTATATCATCATGCAGGTTTCTTTGTTTAATTAGCAGTGCCTCATGTACCTTGCTAATGTTTGTATCATTTATATATTAATTCCATTTCTCATATTCATTCCTTTCATACATTTTAATTATGGGACAGCTCTAGAGGTCTGTGCTCCATTTACTCACAAGGGCTTCTATAGAAGATTTATCAGCTAGATGATGTAATCAGAAAAAGAAATGAGGGTATCCGTTCCATGCATAGTTCTCTTTCTGAATAAGATATGGAGTTCTGAAATGTTGTTTACATTTTGCTTGCATCTTCCTGGCCCTGTACAATGCATGAATATTTATATAAAATTAAGTTCTAAACTATAGAATGGAAGCTTAGGAAAAAAACTAATTAAGGGAGAAAGTATTGCAATGACAAAAGCCACAAAGATAAACATAGCTCCTTTTTGCTTTATTTTTTGTATCCTTTTCCTAATCATGTTTTTTAAGATGGCTGATACAATAGATGTCTGAGTAATATAAAAGCTGGAAAGCTTTTCATAATCAAATGGCTTCATACTGAGTATGAGATAAAAAAAAAAATAGAAATCAGCCAAGACTAGCTAAGAGTCTATCAGAGTCCCTTTTTTTCTTTCAACCAAACAATAATCACAGCAGGGTTGGTCTGAATATAAATTTGGATCTATAAAACCAGCTCTTTTTTTAACAGAGCATTTTCCCTGTTCTGCAAAATATACTCAATGCTTAATGACAAATGTAGATAAAGTCCTTATTGAAATTTTGTATTCTCTGTCCTGTCCATCATTCTGCCCTTTCTCAATGTACAATTATCTGTGAGATGTACATTCATATCTGCAAATTAATTTGCCACTGAGCTTTGGTTATTTGTCACCCTTTCACATTTAAAGGGCTCAAGATATATGCATTGTCTTCTCTGTTATATATATTTATTACTTTTTTTAAAATAATGGATCACAGTGGATTTCTTTAAAAAGAACTCTCTAAAATCCATGCAAATACTACTATACTGGAGCTGTTCTTTCCTATAAGCAAAAAGTCACTATTATAGTACAGCTTCTTCTGTGCAGGAATAAACAGAGGTTCACTTAGTGAGTAATGCACCAAAATATCCAAGGTGGCCTCGCAATTAAATCAAATCAAATTCCTCTTATAGAATTTCAAGGAATGTTAGAAACAGGAAAATAGTTATTTAATTTATTGTTAAAGAAATATATATATATATACCCACACAAGAAATCATGTTAACAATGAGGACAAACTGAGTGCCAAATATTTGTCATCTGTATAAATCTACACTACTAGAGAAACTATTTTATGTAATTCTCTTTTCCCATGCTTTTACGGTTCTTTTGAGCAGTTCTGTTTGGTAGCATGCAGGATATCTATACAGAATATACAGTGCAATGTTTCATTACAATAATTTCTTGCTTCTCGGTAATATCTCATTTAACAAAAAAAATATTGTTTATTTGAAACTTCTTTGCCAATTGTTTTATTCCTGGTTTTTTTTTTTTTTCATTATCTTTTCTCTGCCTTCGGCTAATTGTAAGAAGAAGAAGAAAAAAACAACAACAGATGTGCTTCAATACTTTCCCACTCTCCCATGGCTCTTTTATGAAGCTGCCTCTTTTAATTGGTTCCTGTATTGTTTATGACCATATTCTGTAAATAATTCTGCTATTAAATTTTTTGACATAACTGGCTTTTCCCATTATTAACGTAGCCTGAGGTCATTGAGAATACATCAGAATCAGAACATCGTAAGGAGTAGAGATATCATACCGAGGCTGCAAAACACCAGATCACCATTAGATGGCAGAACACAGGTAGTTACTCTTATAAACAACCTCAAGGTGTTGAACGTATCTAGTATTCCTTCCTCCCATTTTCCCCACAAAACAACCCTGTGAGGTGGGTTGGGTTGAGAGAGAGGGACTGACCCGAAGTCACCCAACCAGCTTTCATGCCTAGGTGAGACTAGAACTCATAGATTTACGATATCAGTTCCACTGTGGGTATTAAGCAAACCACCACTGTTCATTAAGGGCAACATCACATGATTGTGATTTCCTGTTGGCTTTCCCCATTGACTGCTTCTTGGAAGCTGGCTACGAGGGTCACAAAGCGTGATCACTTGACCGCAGGACACTGCAACTGTCATAAATGCACACCTGGTTACCATGTGGCAATCATGTGATACAGTGGTGAAATCAAATTTTTTTTATACCGGTTCTGTGGGTGTGGCTTGGCGGGCATGGCAGAGGAAGGATACTGCAAAATCTCCATTCCCAACCCACTCCAGGGGAAGGATAGTGCAAAATCCCCATTCCCACTCCACTCTGGGGCAGCCAGAGGTGATATTTGCCAGTTCTCTGAACTACTCAAAATTTCCGCTACCGGTTCTCCAGAACCTGTCAGAAGCTGCTGGATTTTACCCCTGATGGAGAAGCTACAGCAGCCATAGAAGATGGTGATGAAGAAATGTTGTTACGTCTCTTTTTTTCAGTTTCATCAAAACTTCAAACAGTTGTTGAATGAGTGGTCAGTAAGCAAGGACCATGTTAATTGTAATTGAATCTAGTAGTCATCTAGATTTTCATTGCCCGGGTATGGGAGTCCAAGGAAACCCTGAGATACATAACTGCTTATCTAACAAAGCTAAAATCTATATGGATTGTTATGTACAGGTAGTCCTCAACTTACAACAGCTTGTTTAGTGACCGTTCAAAGTTACAACGGCACTGGAAAAAGTGACTTATGACCATTTTTCACACTTATGACCTTTGCAACACCTCTGCAGGACCTCTCCAGTTGTCATTTGGATGCTTGACAACTGGTCCATGTTCATGATGGTTGCAGTGTCCGGGGTCATGTGATCACCTTTTGTGATCTTTCTGACAAGCAAAGTCAATGGGGAAGCCCGATTCACTTCATGACCATGTTACTAACTTAACACCCGCAGTGGTTCACTTAACAAATATTAAGCTGGAAAGTCTTAAAATGGGACAAAACTCACTTAACAAATTCCTCACTTAGAAACATAAATATTGGGCTCAATTATGGTCGTAAATTGAGGAGTAGCTGTACATATATGCGTAAATGTTTGTTTAATTTTCTTGTGCCTTCTGGGTTAAGAACGACTGCTTTTACACTGGAAAATTTCCTATAGAGTAAAATTTCCTAATCTTTTTGGAACTTAAATTTAGGCTTCCTAAACTTTTGGGGCAATTAAAATCCTACAGGGACTTTCAAAAACTATCTGTCAAGAGAGCTGGACATTCACAAAATGGCCACACAAGCAGTTAACCAAGAAGTGATTTTATGTAACTTTATTTGCTTAATCTCTTATCTCACAGGACACCTTTAGTATCCCTACCTTAGGGCAGACAAAGACACAACAAAATATTTATATTCTTGGAAGTAAAAAGTTGCTGGAGCCTATGGTTTAATATGATTGCAGATTATTTTTATAGTATAATTACATGGGAGATACAAGCTTTTTATATTTTTATGGTAACAGACCATAAAGGGGGAATTTCTGAGAAGACATGCTGCTTTTCGTCAGATAGATGATGCAAGCTTTTGAAACAATGTAATACCTTTATTAGGTGTGCAAAGACGAATTTTGGTCAAGGGGCCATGGGGATGTCGCAATGGTCCTAACAGTTAACAGTAACAGAGTCGGAAGGGACCTTGAAGGTCATCTAGTCCAACCCCCTGCTAGTGAGGATGTAAGTCACTTTTGTCGGTGCCCTTGTAACTTTGAAAGGCCACTAAACAAATATAAGTCAAGAAGTAGCTGTATAACCACACCAAAAGGACCCATCAAAGAAATTGGCAATACCTAAATACAATACCTAAAATCAGCTGAGCAATTTCGTTCAGTGTAGCAACAATATCTCACTAGAGTTTGGCACAAACCAGTTTGCACTGTGCTTCTTTAGCAAAGAGCGCAGTCAGGCCACTTAACACACATTTTAACACAAATAGAACATAAAGCAGAATTAGTCGCCCCCACATAACACTATTAACATTTCATCAGTTGTATTTGGGGAAATACAGAGAAAATTAACTATGCAAGCCCACACAGGCAGACACTGCTGGAAATGGTTTACATAGTACCCAAATATATGTAGGGGAATAATATGTATAGTAGGGGAATAATATGTATAGTAGCTGCTTCAACAGTTTGAAAAGAGGTGCTTCACCAATGCTCCTGCACATCCACAATCCTTCTGGGAACACTCTTATTGTGCATACACAAATGGAGGTATGTGATTTATACAACGTATGGGTCAAATATGAGTGAGGGATACAGGACATCTGTAGCCCATTAATTATGGACATTTTTCTTTGGTCAACAGTCATGTTCATTATTATTGTTTTATTTGAGAGCAAAGTGTGCATTCAAGCGAAACAAGTGCCTCACCCAAGCACATTTCCTGGTATATATACTGCTCAAAAAAATAAAGGGAACACAAGCAGAAGACATCCGAGATCTGAATGAATGAAATAGCCTTATTAAATACTTTGTTCTTTACATACAGTAGTTTATTCACTGCTCAAACAACTAAAGGGAACACAAAACTACTGTATGTAACGAACAAAGTATTTAATAAGGCTAGTTCATTCATTCAGATCTCGGATGTCTTCTGCTTGTGTTCCCTTTATTTTTTGAGCAGTGTAGTTTAGAACTGGAATGGAAGAAGAAGCTGTTCAGGCACAGTCCCCCCAACCCCCCCAGGTAATAGCTAAAAAAATCTGGAAACTCTACACTACTAAATTAGCAAGTCAACCCACTTCTGCCAGCTACCCCAAAATTGCCCACTCTGCCATAAGCTAACCTCAGGCACACTTAGCTGCTCCTACCAGCAGTTCGTACTATGGGAAAAATGACTGGACAATCTAGAGCAACTGAACTCCAGATGCAGTCGTGATGATGGCTGTGCAGTCCTTTCTCAGCCTCGACTGATAAACCAGCTGCACCCAATTCTAGACAAAGTCCATGGGGTAGGTGGTGGTCCCTCAACCTCAGGTATTGTGGGGCAGGCCAGAGGTTGCAATTAGCTGGGGATGCAGTGATGACTGAGATTATCCATATTTAGAAACAGCTAAACTACTGGTAATCCTTGTTTAGCAACCACAGTTGGTCATTAAGCAAAGCAAAGGTTTCTAATTGAAACTACAATGGCGCTTATGTCCTTACTTCAGCTTTCTTTTGCTTTATAGGTTACGAAGGTTGTAAATGTGAAGATAGGTCACAAAATTTCTCTTTTGTCACTGTTGTAACTGCTAAACCAGACAGTTGCTAAACAAGGACTACCTGTTAGTTATCTCACTTGGGCCTGTATTATGTGTCACATGTATAGAGTCACACAATCTAAGCTGCACTCTTAGATCCAGTAAGTCCCCTCATAGAAACACTTAAAAGCAATACTTAATTCTTCTGCCATTGGAAAGGACACACTCAAAATGGCCTCCTTCTATTTCTATTTTACATGCGGGTTTAAAACATTTCTTTTGACCCTGCTCTTTTAACATTTCTTAACTAAGTTTTACCATATAAAAATATTTGTATGCCATTTACAACAACACATAGGTAAGTGTCAGGCTCCAAAACCATGAAAAACACCCTGAGTTACTCCAAAGCAGTGTTCTTTTGTGTTCCTGACCTATAGACAGAAATCTTGCCAAAGTAAAACAAACTACTGGCATCAATAAAGAAATACCCTGAGAACTTCTAGGGGGGAGCTGTTTTGAGCCTCTTTTAAACTTTGCTGTCTCTTGCTCCTCTGGAACGCCGCCCCTCCCTCCCGGGAACCCAGACTACATTCCACCACAGTAAGGAAGGTAGGAAGGGGAAGAAAATTGCTTTGGTTTTTTGATGTACTTTTACTTTTGGAGCATTTTTGGTTAAACTTTTAAGGTTTGGAGTTGTTCTTTTGTAAAAAAAACAAGTTTCTTGTTTGAATAGCCTTTACCCTTCAGCCAGCACAACAAAACCTGTCATTCAGCTACAAATTTTCCAGGCATGGAGTTATTTCTGAATAGACCCAGGGCATTCCCTCACTCTAATTCAGCACCATGGAGAGCCCTGCTTGGCTTGAAAAACAGCAGTTGTCTTGGACAGTTGTTGGGGAAAAAATAGTCTGGTCTCACTACTTCCCCTCCCTGTACCTTTCATGAGTGCAATCAGTGGTTTATGTACAAGGCTGTAGGCTAACAGCTGATTAGAACAGCATACTTCAAGCAATTTCTCATGCAACTGCACTGGTGCCTTACTCTAAACGGCAAAGTATAGTTTAGACAATTGTTTTAAAAAGTGGCAATGAATACAACGCAAAATCTTTTATGACCTATAGTGATTGGGTTAAAATTGTCACATCATGATAGTAATTCCCCAGAGCCTTTAAACTAAAATAGCCTATCTAGCAAAGTATTAGTCTTGTTGAGGCTTTTTGCAGAGAGGTGGTTTTAGGACCACAGCCTAACACCCCCCATTTCATTTCAAAAATTAGATTATCCACATGCGTTAAAATGAGGCATGAAACACTTTTTTCCCCCATAACAATGTCCCTCTCCAATGATAGTGTTGGAAAGAAAATTAGATCCATTCTCACCAAGTTTGAAAAAAATGCAAGCAATTGTTTAAAACAGAGGAAAATATATATTTCTGAGGGCATCATAGCTTGGGGGCC